ACCACCTCGAGATGACCTCACAAAGTGCCACCTGCCTAAAACCCTTTTGCATTTAATCTGAATTATTTTTCCACGTCATTATCTTCCTTTAACTCCTTCCCACGGCAGCCTCTGCACTGATCCAAACTGGTGGGTGAAATGCCAACCTCAGCACTGGGGAGTGTCCCAGGCCAGGCTGGACAGGGCTTGGAGCAGCCTGGGATAGTGGGAGGTGTCCTTGCCCCATGGCAGGGGGTGGCACTGGGGGATGCTTCAGCTCCCTTCTAATCCAAACCGTTCTGTGACATCAGAAGAATGCAAAACAAACCCTCCCCATCACAGCTGGGGAGAAAAACCTCTCCTCTTGATAAAGTTCCCATAGGTTCTTTTATGGGGGCTGCACCTGGCCAGCATGAGCACAGCTTTGCTTCTGGTAGTTGCTTTCCAGACTAATTTTTAAAAATAAAACCAAGTTTAAAAAATATTTATTGCAAATTTCTGGTGTACATCCCTAATATAAATATAGCTAATGGCTCAACTGTATTTATTAATTTCTGTATGTCTGTGTTTATTTATGTATTTATTATTTTTGAGCCATTCCAGTTACTTGGTCATGGCCTTTTACAACCATCAACAGCAGAATTTTCAACAGAATTTTCAACACCAACAGAGTATTTTCAAAGTCTTGATGTGCAATGCCCTAAATATGTTGTTCCAAGATACAATATTTTTCCTGTGCTCTGTCACTGCTCAGGACTGAGCTGCTGAAGGATCCAGACAAATCCCTGGTTGGGGATATACAGCTCTGGAAAAGGACTGAGGTGGGCAAGGATGGCTTGGCTTGGACCTCTGTAAAACATTATTTCAGCAGGTTTGGGCCAGCTAATACTGGTTTAGAGCATTGAAAAATCTCCGAGTAGCTTTCCAATTAAAAAAACCCCATCATTTATGTTTATATTTTGTTAAGTACTGATATTCTTGGGCCCCTGCTGCTCAGGCTTTAACAGCCCCAGTGATTTTTTAAGACTTTTAAAGATTTGTGATGTCCATGGGTCCTCACCCATGGGCTTGGCTTCACCTCTTGGTGCCTCAGAGCCTCTGGCTGGTCCCTACCCACTCCTTGGCCTCTGCAAAGTTTTTCAGGCTGTGCTTAAGGGATAAAATAAGTGAAGAAATAGTTGAGGATAAATCTTGGAAGTCCTTGCAGAGATCCTTGGGACACTACAGCAATTTTTGGATTCATGACTTACCCTGAGACACACAGATAAACCAAAAAGGTGAAGCAGCACCATGGACTGAACTGGTCTGCCCAAGCAGACTTGTGAAATGGTTATTGGAGGTTATATTATTATTATTGCTATTATTAATTATATTCATTACAACTCCTTTTATGTCTGTGGACACAAAAGCCTGGACCTAGAGTTGTCCTAAGGGGGAAAAGGGTCACAGGCACAGATTCCCAGAGCAGCTGTGGCTGCCCCTGGATCCCTGGCAGTGCCCAAGGCCAGGCTGGACATTGGGGCTGGAGCACCTGGGACAGTGGGAGGTGTCCCTGCCATGGCAGGGTGGCACTGGGTGGGATTTGGGGTCCCTTCCAACCCAAAGAGACACCCCAAGAACTCACTTCCACAACAGAATTCCATGGCACAAGGAAGGAGATCATTAAATACAACTTTATTGGGTTTCATTGTACAATTTTTTTCACATCTTCCTCCTTTCTTCTCTCCGTCTTCCCCTCGGTATTTCCATCCCATGTTTCCTCGTAGATACAGGGCAACTCTTGACTGGCTGTGTTACCCACACCAATTCTAGCCTCAGTTTCCGTTTTTTCCACTTGATATTTCTATTTTAGATTTTACACAGTAGGAAATTTGTGATTTTTGTTTGATTGAAGCAAAGCAGCCTTCAAATAATTTCCTTGCACCCTCACCACTCCTCTTCAGTACTTGCTTTTGCTACAAAATAGTTTTTCAAACAGCTTCATTTTATTTAAAGATAAGTGCAAACAAAGAGCCACATAACCAAAATCCTCTAAAAGCTTTGTGGGCACCAAAAATGTACAATTTTGTGACTAATTAACTGCACCCCTTAATTCATTATGTCCTTTCAGTAATAGCATGAAGCCAACAAAGAGAAAACAAAACCATTAAGTGCAACTGTTGCTTTATTTAAATGATTAAGGAATAAAATAATTAAGAAATAAAATAGAGCCACAACTGTATCACCTCTGTCACTGTCATATTCCAGCTGGCCAAAGTGCTTCAGTGAGTCACCAGCTGAAGAAGGGTCCCAGACCAGGAGGTCTCAGTTCTTCTGTCAGTTACTTTGGACCTGAACACTGAACAATTATATTTGATAGTTCATCTAAAAATGAAATTTGGCATTGCAGATGAGAAAGGGAAATGGCTTGGGTTTCGTTATTTGATTTCTACAATTTTAAGTTCTAGGACAGTTCATTTAATTACAACTTTAGTATTTTATGAAGCATCTGGGTAAAGATAGGGTTTTGAAGAACACCAACAACTTTTTAAAACTTTTTATGACTTGTGGGACTTGAGGAACGTCCCTCCTTTGTATGCTTTTGTTTAGAGGTTGTTTCCATGCCCTGACTCCAGACTGGATGCTTTCTCTTCCTTTCCCTGTAAAACTTAGGGCACTCCATCGAACAACGACAAGTGTCCAAAAAAAAAAAGAAAAAAAAATCAATTTGCAATCTGATTTGAGGGTTTTGATTTCCTCTGATGAGTTTCAATTTCATTAAAAGCAACCTTATTCGCGCATAAAAGAACTCTTTGAAGGGTAAAGCGGGGAATTGTCTCAAGGAGCATAAAGAAGCGGCGCTCCTTTGTGCGGTTTATTCAGGGCATTAATTGTGGCCGCGCGGCGGTGTGGGCCGGCGGGTGCGCGGTTATCGCGCGGCGATCTGCGCGAGGGGACGCGCAGCACAAGGGCTCGCATTCAAACCCACTGCGGGCCCTATTGACACCTCGGTTATCAACAGCCCTTATTATCTGCTCCGCGGCGGATCGCAGCCCGCCGGTGACATAATAAGCTACAAATCACTGGTGGGGCCTTTCTGCATTCTCCTAATTGTGTGTATTCTCTGGAAAAAAATTATCGCCGGGACTCTCGTCTTGATGAGAAATTGACATTTTCTGGCGGAGCCTGGCGAGGACTATGTGGGGAGATAAGACTTATAGTTGTTTTAAAGGAGTGCAGCCATTCTTTCAGAGGCCTCTTTATTGCTCTAGTTGACCCACTTGATGAGTATGGATTTCATGAGGTCTTTTTCAGCATTTGAACTATAAAAGGTTCAGAATGACACCACCCCTTATAGACAAAAGATAACCTTGCCCTTTGAATATATTGATTCTTTATTAACTAGGCTGTTTAATGCAATGAAATGAGGCATTAGATTGAAGCCTATTTCAAGTGCTTTGAATAATCTTTAAAAGCTTGAAAGACTTTTAAAAGCTGCTCTGCAATAATTGGCATGTACTTTTAGAGACTCTTATTCCTTCGTTTTGATTAAGGAATTTTTATCATCTTCCTGTGTCTAAACTCACTGTGGGCTGACACAACACATTTCCTCAGCAGGGCTCTTACCCAGATGTGTCGTAGGTGGTGGGTTGCTCTAGGAATTGTCATATGTGGGTTTTCTCCTTTTGTATTTTCCTTGCATTGAAAGTTAGAAGAACCATTTAGATGCTCATTATTCAAACCTTTGAAATAAAACTAAAAGGAAAAGTGCCAGTAGGCATCGTGCAGACTTTCATGCCTAAAAACCAGCTTATTTTTTAGTAGGATGCATCCGATTATGCTGCCTTTTAAACATGATACACAGACACACACTCAGATTGGAACAGTTTTCAATGCATAATAATAATAATAAAAATAATAATAATAATAATAATCCAAAGTGTTCTGCAGCTTTAACACCGGTTTTTCATCAAATCAGTTTTCATTTGACAAGAAAACTATGGAAATACTGGAGAAGAAAGAAAGCATGGTTAAAAATCCTGATTTTCCTGTAGGTTGTGACTGCAGTGAGTTTTGCCTTCTCCCCACTCCATCCCTGACCCACGGGCAGCCAAGGAGGGGCTGGGACACACAGCGTGTCCTTTGGCACTGGATCCACATGCACCACTCCATCCATTCACTTTGGAGCTCCGAGTTCCTGAGTGCCCTCTCAAAGTTGTCAGCAGCCCTCTGATTAATGACCGGATCAAACTCCAGAACAAACTCCCTGTTTCACCACCACAGGCACTTACATTCCTCTGCCAGAGCCGTATTCCTGTGGAAATACTCTGCTTTTTGGTGGTGCTGGTCACACACAAGGAGACAGGAGCACATTTGGTGGCTGGGGTGGGGAACTCAGACCTGTACAAGCTTTGCGACTCTCTCCAGCTCCGAGGTTGCGTGTGCCCACCTCACCATAAATAGATTTTTGTACCCATTACATGTGCATTGCACATATTATAGCCCAGAGGATGAAATATTAGTGCTCAGTATTATAATTAGCAAGAGAATTTGCTTCCTTCTCAGCAGTTAAGAGACGAGCACGTCGACCTTCTGTGTCAAACCACCACATGGAAAATTTGGGCTGTGCTTTGTTTAAAATAACTTTTCCTGTTTACAGACTTTTACAATATGATATTAAAATAGTAAAAGAAAAAAAAGTCTATTGTTACCTTTGCTTTAAAAAAGCCTGTCTGAAGTGAACAGTTTTGGTTAAATAAGAAAAAGATTTATTCTGCAGTTATCTTCAAAAAAAGTGAGCAGTCTGGATAAATACTTCACCAAGGCTGAGCAACATGTGATTGCCACTGCAGAGCAGAGATCTCCTTCCTCATCCTCCTCCCAGGGAACTGGAAAGACCACGTCAAGGGTTTGGGCTTTTTCATAACAAAGGAATAAAAATTCTGATATTTAGAAATGAAACCCCCAGTGTTGCATTATTTCGTTTAGTGTTTTGTCACTTTTTTTAATAATCAAACCAGATAAAATTACTAAAAATGAAATTCACAGACAAGAAATACTTTAATTAAATATTGTGTAAAATGAACATTTTTTTATACAGTTAAATATATGAAAAAATGTACAGATAAAACAATCTTATTGTAGGGTCTTTAACAGTAAAATCTACCATTTAGTGAAGCTTTCCGTCTGGAGACAATGAAGCAATGAGTGCATTGACTAATTAATCTAAAACACAAACAGATTGCATTTATGAAGGAACTTGCAGACTTTCTTAACATGTACACGTGACCTCTTTTTTAATTTTTTTTAGAGCAAAACCTTACTTAGACAAAATATAACGGAGGCAATTCAGTTCCAAAGTGACTTCTCAGGCTTTCCCACCTAGCCAAGCCTTGGCCGTGCTCACAGAGCTGTGCTACGCTGAACCCTTCTTCTAAACCTTTCAGAAAAGCTTGACTAAAATGTGCATTCTTTTATTTTTGCCCAAAACAGAAAAAAAAATACAAAAATAATAATAATATTTTAAAAAATTAATAATAATTAACAAAATGATCCCTCCTTTTTTGGTTAAAAGGTGAATTCTGCTGCAGTTTGCAACGTGTTTTGCAGTGCTGCGCTGGCAAAGGATTTAGTGCAAAGTAAAAATAAAAAAAACTCCACGTTTCTCTGGCTGGATTTGGCACCGAGAGCCATGGAATACAACGGAGGTCATTCCAGTTTAAAAAGTACCATCGGCTACGAGTTGATTACAAAAAGTTCCCTAAAAAAAAAAAAAACCCCAAGAAACCTAAATAAACAACTCCCAGACATTAAAAATTCGGTGTGATCCTGATTTCCCGTGAAACCTTCCCTGGTTCTGAGCAGAGCAGGGTTTGGGAGAATGCAGAGTGCAGCAGAAAATCGACACATAAAGGAGTGGCAGAATTGTACACCAGGATTGTGCTTTTTTTTCCCCCTTATTTTTTACACCAGAAATCATCCAAATGAAGTCGTGATTAACAATTGTGGTGTAAGCCTGTGATAAAACAGCACAAAAGTTCTTCAAAGAAGTTCACTTTTAAGGCATCAGAGAAGTTCATGTGGCAAACATTTTAATTAAAACATCAGAAGTGAATTTATTTTTAAACTTTAGGCCTCTGAATTTTTCCAGTAAACACAGTTCAGCTATGTGGCAAAGTCATGGGTGGCAGCTGAAAATGACTTTTTACAATCTTAAAAAAAAAAAAAATTTAAAATAAAATTAAAAAATAAAGAAAACAAACAAACAAACAAACAAAAATAAAATAAAAAATGCAACCACAAAATAGATTAATCTTTTCTGTGGCTGTATCACATGCACATATTCTACTAGTATTCATTACAGCCATGTGGCACAATTTTGATTTGACTATACAACAAACGACTTTTCCTTTCAAAATTATTTGTTCTGATAACTTAAAAATAATATAAAAATAAACAATGAATTTGAATTTTTGAAAAAAAAAATTTTAAAGGATGGAAAGGCTAAACAATAGCAACCTTATGAAGTACAAATGAAATGCACAGACACTGATTTATTTAAAAGAAAAACATGAAGGCAACAGTTCTTGGCTTAATGCTATTTTCAGCATCACGATACCAGGCCAGGACAAAAACCAATACATACAAGAACATAAAAAAAAATGATGAAAAGCAATATACAAAATTTCAAAGATAAATACAATATTTATAGTTGATATGTTACAAAATAAATTCCCTTAGTGACTGCAAGTGTTTATGTGAAAGAAAGTGTTGCAATGGTTAAGACTATTTTATTCCTTATAGCCGTCATAAGGAATAAAATCTGCTTTTTTTTTTGTTCTAAATATTTAAGTGGATCTGAAAAAAATTCAAGACAAGTGTATAAATATTTAGCTACAACTTTGGCAAAATCACAAAAGTCTACAATTTTATAACCACATACAAAACACATTAGGGAAGAAGGATCTAGAAGTCAAAAGGACAATTTTCTGGTACAAGAAACATAGACTTCACAGTAGCCTAAAATGCAATAGTATACAGTGCTAGCAAAAGTTGAAAAAATGTTGCAGATCACACTTGCTTAACAGGAAGCTCTAGCAGTGGAAGTATATTTTTTTCATTTTTTAAACCAACAGACAGTAGCAATTTCTTTTTTTTTTTTTCTCTGTCAGTGTGCTTGTTGAAGGCAAGAGAATTCAATATCAAAGTTACAATTTCTAACTACAATAAGTTACAAAGTTCCATTTCATTAAGATGAAGTTAAGCAACGATAAACCCCCCCGCGCCCGCCCCCGCGCCCCGGTTTTTTGTGTGGTTTTTATTTTCCTAATTATATATTCATCCTTTTTTTTTTTATTCTTTTTTTTTTCCAGTTTGATGGCTCATAACCTCCTTGGCCCCCTTTTTTTTTCCACCACAAAAAAATATTTCACATTATAGAGATACACAACCATTGTGAATCTAGTTATGAGTACAGAAAAATGTTCGGAGGCATTTTTCATCAGTGTTTCATGATAATCAAAATGGTGCATCCACAAAGTTTCTCCCAACACATAGCAAGTACTAGACATAGCCAAGACGTAATCAGAAACTTTATACAAAATAGGCGTCGCTTTTTCCTTATTCTCCAGGACTGAGAAATGTGAAAATATGAGAAAAATTCAGTCAATAAAATGGAATTGTTCATGAAGAAGTAGGTTGTTTTGCATGTAGATTCTTAATAGTTTAAATAAAATCTTTAAACAAAGTCTTTTTTTTTTTCTTTTTTTTGTGGGTTGTTTTTTTTTTGTGGGTTTTTTATTTTTTCCTGTAGCATTTCGATTTTGTTGCTGATTCTGCGTGAAGATACTGCTTCCATCAGCATGTCTTAATATACTAAACTTGTCCCCTAAGCCCATCCTCTGCAGCTTGGTGCTACGGTAGGTAAACAAAAGTGACTTTACATTGGCGGGACTACAAGCCCGGACATGGCTAAAAGAAAAAAGAGAAGAAAAGGAGCTGTTATTGGCACGCTGGGCTCAGAGCCACCGCGGGACAGGGCAGGAGGATGCAGAGCCCGGCTCCTCCACGGTGTCCCCAGAGCAAGGACCACGGACACTCCTCCCAGCAAAACACACCCCAAACAGCCTCTGCTTGAGAAAGGAGCTCTGCGGGCACAACATCCCAGTTCCCCAGGCTCAGCTTCTCTCCAGATCCTGACAACTCTTCTGCTGTGTCCCCATCCCCTGGGGACAGCCCCACCGATCACCACTTTGTGCCCTGGGCAGAAAACCTCATTTTCCACTATTCTTCTTCATGATAAAAGCAGGACTGATCAAGCCAAGGGCTCTCCAAGACCAAAACTAAGAACTCTAAACCTTCTCCCAATCCTAGAGCTCAATCGTCGTAAAAAGACATGATATTTAAACCCCTGACCAGCCATATCCTGGGGTTTCTTAACAGAAAAAGACTGAGATGCCAACAACCACTTTTTTTCCTAGTTAACTCTTTGGTAGAAGCACAATTTAGACAGTCTTTAATTTTAGTGTTGTTTAATTTTTGCCATAATGATATTTCTCATTAATTTATGTACAACAGATATTAATAAATTTGTTCGTGTAGCGATGTGAACTTCAATTTCTCAGTTCATTAATTTCAACAATATTAATTTATTCCAGATTCGCCGTTGCAGCTTTACGGTTTGGAAGAGCTGGGTCTGTACACATTTCATAGGTAACACGACCACCACCAGCATTGCTCCAACAGCTGCACCCAGAGCCCAGAGCAGCCCCTGGTCCTGCCAGAGCCTTCTGTGGATTTGGATGGAGTTAAACCTCTCTAGAACACAGCTTAGGTGATGTTTGTGAAACAGGATTAAGTCTTCCAACTCTGACATTTTTCTCCCCAGTTAAACGTCAAAAATGTCAAAATTGAAACTGAAGTTACAATTTCGCAACATTCATAATAATTATGTTATAAACCTAACAGCAACTGAAGTTACAAAATTTAACTGGAGAACAGTGGTTATATTGGCAGAGAGCCTTTCTACCCGAAATATTCCGTTTCCTCATCACATTTTCAGAGAATCACAAAATCACTTATGTTGGAAAAGGTCTCCAACATCACCAAGACCAAGCTGTCCCCTATCCCCACCTTGTCCCCAGCTCACAGCACTGAGTGCCACCTCCAGCAATTCCTTGGACTCCTGCAGGGATGGGGACTCCAAACCTCCCTGAGCAGCCTCTGCCAAGGCCTGACACCCCCTCAAAAAACCTCAAAAACAGCCCTTCACTAAATCTTTGTTCCACCCTTCATCAGCCAGGCCAGCAGATGACTTCACCCTGTGTTTGGACCTGCCAAACCCCTGCTCTCAGTCTGGCTTCTCCCGTGGGATTCAGCCAGCAGCAAATCTGTCACCAGGCCAGTCTGGTTATCGGGGTGCACCTGACCTGGGGGCGCAGGAGATCATTTTCAGGAACAGCTGTCATGGAATCACAGAATCATTAAGACTGGAAAAGACCTTCAAGGTCAAGCCCAACATCAACCAGCACTGTCGTGGTTCACCACTAAACCATGTCCTCAAGTGACTCGTGCTGCAATTCAACCATCAGCTGCTCCAGCCCTGGAAGTGTCCAAGGCCAGGTTGGACAGGCTGGAGCTTGGAGCAGTTTAGAACAGTGGAAGGTGTCCCTGCCCATGGCAGAAAGTTGGACAGGATGGGTTTTAAGGTCCCTTCCAACCCAAACCATGCTATGATTCTGCTGTGTGAAAATTTAGATTATCTGCTGCCATATTTTTCTGGAGTAAAGAAAAATTATCTCAATTCTTTAATTTAACTGTTTTTGTTGAACTCTCTTTGTGGCACAGTCTGAGGTGGGATGCAAGGTTGGTGCTCCAGACGTGCATTTCACAATTTATTTTAGTAGCAATCTATGAAAATTGTGAATTTCTGCACTGAGCTTCCTGCTGTGCAAATTGATACCAAATGCCTTCTTAAAGAAAAATGAGCTGGTGAGTTTTTTAATAATAATTTTAATACTTTCATCTGGAGAAAGACCAGAAAATTAAGCAGGATGCAATTTTAAAAGAATATAGAGAGCCTTTTGCTGTGCATTATAGTCCTATAACCAGAGAGCAATATCTTTCACAATCTATAGAAAGCAAATTACAATTGAAAACCAAATTTTGAACACATATTGTGCTTCCAACTTCGCAGCGAGCCAGTAGTCTCTCATTAAAAAAATTCTTTTCTAGTTTTAATGTTCATTGTTTTAAACAGGAAAAGACTCTCTGCCCTAAGGAACACACATGGTAGGATCCTGCTCTTAAAAAATTCGTGTGAGTACTTGACTTTCTGGTCATAGACTATGGAGGTCACGCAGAGTCAACAAGATTGTGGCTTTTTGGATCCAGCCCAAAAGCCCTTTTTTGTAGGCTTACTCACAGGAGTGAGTCAGGCCCTGGGGAGAGCAGGGAGAGAGTTCTCCTCCAGGAGCTGCAGCTTCTGAGTGCTGGCCCTCCCTAGGCTGACCATGGACGATGGACGTGCAGCAAGGGGGAGGAGTAAACACCCGCCCTGGCTGGCACTGCCCCCAGCCTGAGATCTCCCCAGATTGCCTTTTTATACTCTTAACCTCTGTCTTCATTGTTGAATCATCAAATCCCAGAATGGTTGGGGTTGGAAGGGATCTTAAGGACCATCTCATTCCAACCCCCTGCCATGAGCAGGGACACCTTTCACTGGAAGGTGCCTTGGATCTCTTTGCAAAAGTGTCCCCTGCAGATTTCTCCATGTTCACTCTTGGGCAGTAGGTCCTACAGCACACAGAGGGTTTTGGGGTTGTGCTTACAGGCAGAAAGATTTTGGTTCTGGTGTGGTGGGCTCGTGTTGTCCTGATGCTCAGGGTCACATCAGCACCAGCCAGAAATTAGGGCAGCTCAACTTCTGTTTAACTCTTTGTTAGGGGACAAAACAATCCCCCTGAAGTCCAGCTGGAGCTGCTTAGTTCTGCTGTTCTCACCACTTAGGTGTACCACAAGCAGCATTTTTCCCACACAGAGATACCCTGCAGTGGTTTACCCACCAGGGAGGGGTCAATGAACCCCCAAATCCCGGCAAAAGGACCACCCTTGTCTGAATTCTTATCCATTCTTATCCAAGTCCCTACTTATCCATAAACTGCAGGATTTGCATGGTCACCACCAGTGACCATGAGCTCCTGCTGCTCTCTTGGCTTGACTGAATGTGACCATTCCTAACATCTCCTCAGCTGTCGCTCAGCTCCTTCACACCCTGCCCTAAAATGACTCTGTACTTAAAGATCACCAAAAAAACTTCAGCTGCATTGGACTGCAGCTCTCAAGTTCCATATTTTAACTTAATGTAGAAAATGTGCTGATCAGAAAACTCTCAAGGTGATTGTACAGAGTCCAGAAAGCAACTAATTAAACTTTAAAAAGAGTTCCCTGACAACAAATGACTGAGAAAATAGGAAGGAAGAAGCAGAAACTCCCTAATGAACTCTATGCATCAAATGCAATGTAGATAAGTACCAGCACAGGAGTGTTGGTGGTTTTTCTTGACGATGTCTCATGAAGGAAGGAGCTGCCAAACCCATCCCTGTGCTGCCCCTCAGCCCTGGCTGCAGCTCAGGCCAAGGCAGTGGCTGAGGTCTGTGAGGATGAATGGGGAAATTTGGGGGCTTTTGTGAGCTCAGTCTGAGCTGACTCAAAGCTTTGGGTGGAAAAAGGGACGGTGCCTCTGCTGGGATGGTGAAGGACCTCACAGAGGACTCCTGGGTGGGGGAGGTGAGGTGGTGCTGAGGCCCTGGCACAGGGAAGGCTGTGACTGCCCCATCCCTGGAAGTGTCCAAGGCCAGGCTGGACTGGCCCTGGAGCAGCCTGGGATAAGAACAGGACTGGGACAGGACAGGAGAGCAGCCAGGACTAAGCCAATGGAATGTGTCCCTGCCCAAAGTTGGAACTAGATGGTCTTTAAGGTCCCTTCCAACCCAAACCATTCCAGAATTCTGTGATTCCATGTCAGTTCCCTAATTCCCACAATACCAAGCATCACCTTGTGGTGCTGTCTACTTTGCATAAATTATGCAAATTTTTTTTGCCACAACCCTGGAAGTCGCTGCTCTAATTACCAGGCCAGAAGGACATTCTGCCTGCTTCTCTGGGTCATTCTGCTCAACACAAAATTATTCAGGTTCAGCTGACAGGGGAAAATTACAATTTTTATTTAATTATTTATTTATCTATCTATGTATTATCTATTTAATTTCAACACTTGGTTTTCAGTTCAGCTGCTGATCCAAAACGCAAAAGGATGACGCCGACTCTGCTGGGTGGATTGCAGCACCCAAAAATCAGGGGTTGAAGGCATGGTTAGGGCTTTGCTGGGCTCTCTGGGCATGAAAAAGCTTAGTGCAAAGTGAGCTTAGGCTCAGCTTAAGAGCTGAATTCATGACCTATTTAACAAATCAGTATTGGCTGATTCCAAGTCATCTTCTGAGCTTTATACAAAAAGCATTTTGTACCTGAGGATGGAGATGTGC